ACTCGCCAGTACATCTGCCATCGCGGCTTCTGCTACCAGCTCCTTCCAGCAGTGGCATCATCGCCTTGGTCACCTTTGTGGTTCTCGGCTATCGTCTTTAGTTCGTCGTGGTCTTCTGGGGCCTATCTCAGGAGATGTCTCTTTGCAGTGTCAGGGTTGTAGGCTTGGTAAACAGGTTTAGTTACCTTATCCTACAAGTGAGTCAGTGTCTCAACGCCCTTTTGATTTAGTTCATTCCGATGTGTGGGGACCGGCTCCCTTCTCTTCCAAAGGGGGCCATCGCTACTATATTATTTTTATAGATGATTTCTCTCGCTACACTTGGCTTTACTTCATGTCTTCTCGTAGCGAGGTTCTATCTATTTATAAGCGTTTTGCCGCCATGGTCCACACTCAGTTCTCTACACCTATTCGTGTGTTTTGTGCTGATTCTGCTGGCGAGTATATCTCCAAAATGTTGCGTGGTTTTCTTGCTGAGCAGGGTACTCTTGCGCAGTTCTCTTGTCCCGGTGCTCACGCTCAGAATGGCGTGGCTGAGCGCAAGCATCACCACCTTCCGCCTCTCTTCTGACAGCAGAGGTGACTTGGTTACGATGGTTACTGGAGGATTTTGGTGTTTCTGTTACTACACCTACCACCCTCCTGTCGGACAGCACAGGTGCTATCAGTATTGCGCGGGACCCTGTGAAGCATGAGCTTACCAAACACATTGGTGTTGATGCTTCTTATGTGCGCGCCGCTGTGCAGGATCATGTTGTTGCTCTTCAGTATGTGCCTTCTGAGTTACAGCTCGCGGACTTCTTCACGAAGGCTCAGACTAGAGCGCAACATGGATTTCACCTCTCCAAACTCAGTGTTGTGGATCCACCATGAGTTTGAGGGGGGGTGTTAGAGTTATATTAATATTGTCTTTTGGCCTTTTGCATTCTAGTCTATTGGCATCCTCTTGTAGCCTTTTGGCATCCTCATGTATGTGTATATATGTTGGCTTTGACCTCCTAATAATACAAGTTGTTCTCCTCTCAACAGGACCAAAAAGAAACTGATTCAAAATATGAACAATATGTGAGATACCCATACGAGTGACAACTAGATTGACTAGACTCCCAACAAGATGACAATAAAACGCCAGATTAGACAAGGGGTCACCATCAGTAGCACGGTGAGGTGAATATTGAGCTCCATGGGAGTCTCAATGGTGCGCTTATCAGTAAGAGCAACACAGACAAGATCATTGATATACTTTTCATGGGAAATAAAAAAACCATCAGAGGTAGTAGAAACCTCACTCCCAAGAAAACAATGAAGAGGGCCAAGATCAGACATAATAGACTACTCACTAAGACATGCCTTCACAAAGGCAATGTACTTAGGGTCGTTGCCAGTGATGATCATGTCATCAACATATAGGAAAAGAGTCCAACCATGAGAAGAAAGGTGGACAAACAACGCAGGATCATGAACGCTTGCCGAAAAACCAGCAACAATCACCACAGAGGCGAAACGCTCAAACCAAGCACGAGGGGCTTGCTTAAGGCCATAGAGAGAGAGAGAGAGAGCGACGGAGATGACATACCATACCATGAGGAACAAAATACCCATGTGGTGGCTGCATGTAAACCTCCTCACACAACTCACCATTAAGGAAGGCATTCTTGACATCAAGCTGAGACAGACCAATGGCTAATAGAGGCCACACCAAGAAGTGTGCGAACAATGGTCATATGAGGCATAGGAGAAGAAGTCATCATAATCACGACCATGCTCGTGTTGAAAGACACGAGCCACAAGACGAGCTTTGTAGCGCTCAAGAGAACCATCCGTGTGAGTCTTAACCTTATAGACCCCGTTACAAGTGACGAGACGCGCACAGGGAGGAAGAGAAACAAGATCCCACGTGTCGGTGAGCTCAAAAGCAACAATCTCCTCTGCCATGGCAAGCTGCCATTTGGAATGAACAACATCATGATAAGAAGTCGCAGCGCCAGTGCTAGAAAGACCATAGCGGTCAACGGGTGAGTACGTAAACCATAAGTAGGCTGGCACAAGGAAGATGGCGCATTAGTAGACGCATCCACAACACGTGAACGACGTGTATAATACTGAGGAAAAGATGGAAGAATACGAGGAATCACCGGGATAGGCTCAGGTGATGGAGACGGGGATACCACTAGCGATGAAGGTGCAGATCCCGTGACAAGTGAGGTGAGGGTGAGGAAACCGTAGGAGATGACGACGTCGTATCTACAACAGTCGAATTAGTAGAAGAGTGGGGTGAGTGGACAAGGACTCAACATTAGTGATAGAAGTGTCGGGGAAAAGTGAGGAAAGAGATATCCTTCACAGAAAAGGTCGAGAAAGATGGAG